AGGTATGATCTGATCTTCTAGAGTAGAACTTTTAAAATTTATATGAAACCATATAGTGAAATCTATTTCAATATGTTTTATATGTTTTTAAATAAAAAAAATGCATAAATATACATTTTTATATTAATTTATATTTATATTCATTTTTACATTAATCAGTAATAACCTTGAAGTGTAGATTCATAATAATCTCTGTTTAAAAATCTTCTCGTTTTAATATAAAAAAAAACAAAGCAACTTTTATTATAATACAGATAATATCTATTAGATATGTTTTCACTCTGATTAGATATTTCTTATACAAATTTTAAAATTATCATTACATCATAAGATATACTACAACTTCTAGCCCCCACTTTTAACTATATCAAAAACTGCGGCGCAGACAATAAAGATTTTTCAATGGGGTGATATATGTATAAATCCCTATTCTGTACATTTCGTTGCTTACACCATCAACAACGAACGAAGTTCTAATACAAATTATCGTATTTAAGGAGATCCTATAAGTAGGGTTTATCGTATGATAATAAATCGGTATAAGCAAGTTTTCAATATCAAGAAAAACCAGCCTAACCATAAAACTAGATTAATCAAACCACAAAGTATATATAGTAATAATGAGAAAGATGGAATATATTTGAATATATTACAAAAATATATTTACTAATTATAATATATATTTTAACTAATTTCTGGGTACTAAAAGACCTTATTAAGGTACTAAAAGACCTGAAAGAGATCCTGCTGGTTTAAGGTTTAGTGATATATGTTTTCGTTCTAGAAGAAAATTCAGTTAAGCTTTAGTTAAAATTTCACAATAACAAAGAGATCGAAGAAAGTGAGTAACATTTACTTTATTGTTGTCCAGATCACAGCCATTAGCGGCGTTACAAAATAGTGCTATATGTTCAGTGCTATATATTCAACTATTTTTCTTTATTAGCTTTATTATGAGCTATATATAGTATCAGCAAACTCTTAAAGTTTGGTAGAACTTTGAAATGGTTTCCTAAGCCAAGTCAAATCTGTAGGTGGTTTATAATGACAACACTCATAGAGCTTAAATTGATCATAATTTCTTGGCACTGTTGCCCTAAGTTCAAATGTTTAATGTGTCTTAAGTTGCCACTTTGTAGTTTGCTGAGAACTCTGCAAATCAGTAGTTTGCGAGAAGTATTCTAATAAAATAACGTAGGGTTTCATATAAAATAAATTAGTGTAAAGTGTAAAGACTTAAGCAATTTCTAACTATTTCTAGAATTATATATATTATTTGGGAGGAGTACAAGAGGTGATAGCTAGTGGTTTCTTATCTTCAATGCTTTATAGAAAATCGATGTATACAGTACGTTTTTCCTTTTAAAAATAAATCATTTAGCATTATATATATTTTTAAAAGAAAGATTATTTTTATGTAAAGAAAGATTATTTTTATTATTCTTATTATTAATATTAAAATATTAACATCATTTAATATACTGAAACATAAAAAATAAATTTAATAAAGCTGTTACTTAGATGGTTACTTAGATCACTCTGGAATCACTCTGTCATCGCTCTTCAATAATGTTGCTCTCATTACTCCATCTGTGTTCAACCGTTTATAAATCAAACAACTTCCCGAAGATATTTGAATCACTTAGTGTAGTTACAGCTGATAGTCTCATTTACGACTATGCTTTATTCGTATTTGTAATTCCTTTCATGTAGATCTACACGAATTATCACAACAACAATAGCAGTAGGTAAAACATTTTATCGACTTTTAAAAAAATATTATTCAAATGGGATTTCCTAATAATTATATTAGTTATGTGAATTGTTTGTTATAAATATTTTATTAAATCATAAATTAATTTTATAATTGAGTAAACAATTTGCTCGTTATATGTAACTTAAAATTTTATGCTATAAGGTAAATAATACATTTACATTTGGTTTAACCAATAAGATTTCTTGATAATATCATTTTTATAAGATAATTTTATATATATGTAATGCTATTATATGTATATGGAATTAATATGTATGTTTGAATGGGACATACACAGTTCATTGAAATTAATATATAATAAATAAACAAAACGAATAGTTTCTGAAACAATTAAATAAGCATTTAATATATTATGTGATATCATATTATGCGTATATATCATATAGGTATATTAAAAATAGACAAAATATACTTTAAATAGAAAACATAAAAATTTATGAATTCAACTTAAAATAATATTTTAGTCTAAGAAAATACAGTTTGATATTTGCGTTCATATATGTATATTTTGATATAAATACATTGTATATAAGAAATCATAAAAGAAACTTCTTTAAACATACATAATAAATTGTATTTAATGGTATTATGTTTACTTAATGATTATGGAAAAAGTAATATAATTTAAATAAATGATACAAAGAATATATATAAAGTTCTTAATTATTACATTAATTTCCAATAAAAAATAAAAAAAAATTATTTTAGATGATAAGAGATAAGATTTTAAAGGAATCTTGTCGCAATTTCGTACTTCATGACGATACTTAATATAATTGTTGAACAACTACTTTAACTATGATTGATACTTATGCTAATGAGGACGCATAAAAGCACAGTTTACTGAGTAGAGTGCTGTCGCATCTTGATTCAAAACTCTTTTGGGATTAAAAAAATTAAATAAATTTGACTTGTTTGTTATAAACTTAAATCGCTCCAATATTATTTTGTTAAGAAATATATATATACATATATATATTCTCAACAACAATATCCATTAATGATATATATTACATTAACATTACTTACACAACTACTATGTAGTAAAATTAGAAAGAATGAAAAATCAGTATTTGAGATAAAATTTGTTCAATTCGCTCATATGATTTCCAAATGTTTATATTCAAAAATTAAAACCAAAATAAGCAGTACGACAACTTTGAATATTTAAATTTTGTATTAAATCATAAAATATATGCTCCACAAAAAAAAAAAAATAAATTACTAACACATTATCACATAGAGGGAATTAATAACTTTACAAAAATATATATATATTAATATGCGTAGAATACATTTTGTGATATAAAGCACTGCTGGACACTTTACTTATTAATATTATCTGTTTTGATTATTTTAATAGATAGTTTAATGAAATAGCTATTAGAAAATATATTGTTACTTTTGTTATTAAATATAGCTTTACTATTGATCTAACATACTACGTTTCAATGCCTCTTCCAAATCATCATGGAATGTCTCCGGCTTTGAATAATCGGATGCAAATTTATCAGGTAATTTAGCACCATTCCCGTCGATTATATTAGATTTTGTTGAGGTATTTAATGTCTTAGTCAAAGTTGTTTCATTTTGTAATTTTGTTAATTTAAACAAT